TTTCTTTCTTTCTTTCTTTCTTTCTTTCTTTCTTTCTTTCTTTCTTTTTTTCTTTGTATTCTTCTTATTTATTTTTTTGAGACAGAGTTTCTCTGTGTAGGCTGTCCTGGATTTGCTCACATGGATCCACCTGCCTCTATCTCCCTGAATGCCGGGATGAAAGGCATGTTGCCACCACACCCAGCCAACATTCACCATTCATTTTAGAGTGAATGTTATGAGAGGTTTTCAATTTACTAATATTTTCCCTCTATCTCAACTTGGAAACTATCCTGTAAGTGTACCATTATGCATGCAAATTCAGCTTTGAATGAACTTAAAGGACTGCATCCCAGTACAAAGACTGTAGCTTAAACTGTTTGGAACGGGGAGAATATTTCTTTCTGAAAGTGCTGGCAGTATCTCTGGTACGAGTTAGCCTTCCATCCCTTTGTGATCTTGTAGACCCTAATGATGCCTTGTGGTTCTTAGGTGGCAGACCTAGGGAAAGCAGTGTTAAAGAAATTCACTCATTCATGTAGGGGAAGCACAGATGCTGGGGTCAGGAAGGTGACTTTAAATGATCACGCTTTGTTCCTGGTACATAGTTCATAAAACACAAACTTCCTTTGGAAACTTTCCTCAAAGAGTAGTAACTGATTAACATGGCCTCATGGGTCCTGCCACTTGCAAGCCCTCCACCACAGTGGCACACCCAAAGACAATAATGGGGATGGTTCCTGCATATTTCCCTTCTTGTGTGTCTTCTGCATACGCTGGATTTGTGATGTTTTCTCCTGATGAACTCAGTGTGCTTGCATACAAAGATACTGAGCTCTGTGATGTGAAGTCCACACTGAACTAAACTGGAAATAGAAGAGGTCAATAGAGTATGTCTAAGGAGAAACTGAGACAAGTAAGAGGTAGCCTTAAGCAAAGGAGCACAAGTGGGGGAGTTCAGGCTCTTGCTGCCTTGAGCAGGATTCTCTTTTCCTTAAGCTTCCTCCTCATAAGATTCTAGTCATTGAGCTCAGAGGCCTTGGGGCTACTCCATCCTCTCTCCATTAGGTTCTCCTCAGGCTGCACTAAACCAAGTTCTTTAGAGCGGAAAGATAGCAATTAAAGCATCCTTGTTAATGTTCAAATCTGGTGTCATGTATCTTTAGTACCATAATTGAGAAAAACTTCTCTCTCTCCCCTCCCTCTGAAAGCATTCTGAAGTTAAGAAAAATATTAGCATAATCACTTGTTTCAATTTTTAAAAAAATTAAGCTATTAGACAATAAACTTGAAGAAGTTCCAACATGCTCATCTTTGTTTCTCTCTTCCTTTCCACTTTACCCACTCTCAGGCTTACGAGAGGCCCCAGAAACACTCAGCACTTCATTATGACCCAGGCCTCACACAGGGCTTCACCAGTGACACCTTAAAACCAAAGCACCAGCAAAAAAGCAGCAGCCAGAGCCACGTGGACTGGTCTTCCAACTCTGACAGTGGATCTGCCACTCAGAATTGTTTCATCAGTCCAGAGACTGGCAGAGAAACTGCAAACACCAGCAAGATCCCAGCTCTTGAACCCGTGGCTTCCTTTGCAAAGGCCCAGAATAAGAAAGGCAGTACAGGGACTACCTGGAGTCAGTTGTCCAGCAGCAGCAAAGATCTGCTCTTGGGAAGTGTGGTACCATCCCCCAGCAACCACAGCTCCCCCACAAACCCTAGCAACTCTGTTGAGTGTAATGGACTCCAGCCATTGGGAGATCAAGATGGAGGAGGTACAAAGGAGCTCCCAGAACCACCCAGTACTGGTAGCAAGAAGAAGTCCAGTAAAAAGGATGTGATAAGTCAAACCATACCAACCTCTGATCTGGATTGGGTCAAGAATGCCCAGAAAGCATTTGAAAACACAGAAGGAAAAAGGGAAGGCTACCCTGCTGACCATACTCAAGACGCATCACCAACCAGGCAGAGTGTTAGTTCCGTCAGTAATCCTGAAAATGATTCCAGTCATGTCCGGATTACCATCCCCATAAAAACACCTTCTCTGGATCCAGCCAACCATAAGAGGAAGAAGAGGCAGTCCATTAAAGCTGTGGTGGAAAAAATCATGCCGGAGAAATCACTGGCTTCGGGGATTGCTATGAGCAGTGAAGTTGTTAACAGGATACTTTCCAACTCAGAGGGAAATAAGAAAGACCCTCGAGTCCCAAAGTTGGGTAAGATGATAGAAAACGAGTCACCCTCAGTTGGCCTTGAAACAGGTGGGAATCCTGAGAAAATTGTCCCTGGAGGTGTGTCCAAGCAAAGGAAACCAACCATGATCATGACATCACCAACACGCACAGAGCACTCTCAGTCAGGAAAGATGCCTGAGATCCAACACCCCAAGTTTGCTGCAAAAAGGAGGTGTAGTAAGGCAAAACCTCCGGCTATGCTTCGAGAGGCAGTCTTAGCTACTGCTGACAAACTGATGGTGGAGCCACCATCTGCGTACCCCATTACCCCATCCAGCCCTCTATACACCAACACGGACAGTCTGACTGTGATCACACCAGTCAAAAAGAAGCGGGGACGACCAAAGAAGCAGCCTCTACTCACAGTGGAGACGATTCACGAAGGTACTTCCACTAGCCCAGTCAGTCCCATCAGCAGAGAGTTTCCTGGCACCAAGAAAAGAAAGAGGCGGCGCAATCTCGCCAAGTTGGCCCAGTTAGTGCCAGGAGAGGATAAACCTATGAGTGAGATGAAGTTTCACAAAAAGGTTGGAAAGCTTGGTGTGTTGGATAAGAAGACCATCAAAACGATCAACAAGATGAAGACACTCAAAAGGAAAAATATCTTAAATCAAATCTTGTCCTGTTCCAGCAGCATGGCCCTAAAGGCCAAAGCTCCTCCAGAGACCAGTCCTGGGGCAGCATCGATTGAAAGTAAATTGGGCAAGCAGATTAATGTCAGCAAGAGAGGAACCATCTACATCGGCAAGAAGAGGGGCAGGAAGCCAAGAACAGAGCTGCCACCCCCATCCGAGGAACCCAAAACAGCCATCAAGCACCCCAGGCCTGTTTCTAGCCAGCCGGATGTTCCAGCCGTGCCTTCCAACTTTCAGTCACTCGTGGCTTCTTCACCAGCAGCTATGCACCCCCTTTCAACACAGTTAGGCGGGTCCAATGGCAACCTGAGCCCCGCCAGCACTGAAACCAATTTTTCGGAATTGAAAACTATGCCAAACCTCCAGCCCATCAGTGCTCTTCCAACCAAAACCCAGAAGGGGATCCACAGTGGAACCTGGAAGCTGTCCCCACCCAGGCTGATGGCCAACTCCCCTTCACACCTTTGCGAGATTGGCTCGCTGAAGGAGATCACACTGTCCCCTGTGAGTGAGTCGCACAGTGAGGAGACCATCCCAAGTGACAGCGGCATCGGGACAGACAACAACAGCACCTCTGACCAAGCAGAGAAGAGTTCAGAATCCCGACGGAGGTACTCTTTTGATTTCTGTTCCCTGGACAACCCGGAGGCCATCCCATCTGACACCAGCACAAAGAACCGCCATGGCCACCGGCAGAAGCATCTCATTGTGGACACTTTTCTGGCCCACGAAAGCCTCAAGAAGCCAAAGCACAAGAGGAAAAGAAAAAGCCTGCAAAACCGTGATGATCTCCAGTTTCTGGCTGAGCTGGAAGAGCTCATCACCAAATTTCAAGTGTTCAGGATCTCCCACCGGGGCTATACTTTTTACCATGAGAATCCATATCCCAGCATCTTTAGGATTAACTTTGATCACTATTACCCGGTGCCATATATCCAGTATGACCCATTGCTCTATCTTCGTAGGACTTCAGACTTGAAGTCAAAGAAGAAGCGTGGTAGGCCTGCAAAAACCAATGACACCATGACAAAGGTGCCTTTTTTACAGGGGTTCAGCTACCCTATTCCCAGTGGAAGTTACTATGCACCCTATGGAATGCCTTACACATCAATGCCTATGATGAACCTTGGTTACTACGGTCAGTATCCAGCTCCTCTGTACCTATCGCACACACTTGGAGCAGCGTCCCCATTCATGAGGCCAACAGTGCCACCACCCCAGTTCCACACAAGTTCCCATGTCAAGATGTCTGGGGCAACTAAACACAAAGCCAAGCACGGAGTACACTTGCAGGGAACTGTAGGCATGGGCCTCAGTGACATACAGCCATCCCTGAACCCTCCCAAGGTGAGCGGGGCCGCTCTGTCTAGCAGTAGGCTCCACAAGAGGAAACACAAACACAAGCGGAAGCACAAGGAAGACCGGATCCTAGGGACCCACGACAATCTGAGTGGTCTCTTTGCAGGCAAAGCCACAGGCTTCTCCAGCCACCTCCTGAGTGAGCGGCTGAACAGCGCAGACAAGGAGCTCCCGTTGGTGAGCGAGAAGGCCAAGCATAAGGAGAGACAGAAGCATCCGCATGGTGATGCCAACCACAAGGTTTCTAAGAACAACTTTGAGGTGGACACCCTGTCTACACTGTCACTTTCGGATGCCCAGCACTGGACACAGGCTAAGGACAAAGGTGACTTGAGCAGTGAGCCTGTGGAGTCATGTGCTAAAAGGTACTCTGGCAGCAGTGGGGATAGCAGCAGCACGAGGTCAGAAAGTCTGGATGTGTTCAGTGAAATAAATCCTTCCAGTGACAAGTGGGACAGTGACGTGAGTGGGAGTAAGAGGAGGAGCTTTGAAGGCTTTGGGACATACAGGGAAAAGGACATTCAGGCCTTCAAGGTGAACCGCAAGGAGAGAAGTTCCTATGAGTCCTCCATGTCTCCAGGTAAGACCACATTTTCTTCTAGTGTTGGACTTGCCAGTTGTTTAAGTCCTAGACTTTTCAGTATGAATGCCAATCATACTTGGTCCATCTTTTACAAAAAGAAGGGAGCTGAGTGCAAACAGTCTCCCTTGCATGTTTGAATTTGCTGTGTATTTCATGTATTGTTTACATGATTTTGCCTGTCTTTCTGTTCCTCTAACCCAAATGCCTGAGGCACTGTTAGTAACTCTCTAAGTGATAGACATATGTACTACAATTATACTTTTTTATTAAAGAACCTTCCATTAATAGGTCTTAATTATGTGGTACAGTTTGCTAGTTGAAAGCTCTAAAACTCAGAATGTGAACAAAATCTTAAGAATGTCAAGGCTAAGAGGGAATGACCTTGCTGTAAGTCGAAGTTGCCGATCTTCAATTAGAAATTCACCACAAAGCCATTTGAAGCTAACGATCAGAGGACCCTGAAGCTTAAGCAGTCAGGAAGCCACAGCCCTAAACCATGGCCTCCACTCTTCATCATGAAGGTGGAAACATGACTGCATCCACCATCTTGCTTCCATGTGCTAAGGGAAGAGACTCAGAGATTGGCATTTTGTGTCTTCTTTACAAACAGAACTACAGCCCTGTGATTTTTAGCACTCTCGCTAAATTGGGATTTTTACTCATGGATGTCTAAATGAATATGTTCTTTGCTACCACAAAAATCTCACTCCCTGTCAGTGATTGGCAGAATTTCCTTGCTAACCTCCCTGTCCACACAAATCCTTCCCTGCCATGGAGCTTCACAATTTGACAAAGATAGCCGGTGCCCCTGTCCATACACCATATAAATGCTAAGACTCTGAAGAGTTCGTAACTCCTTGGAAATCAGGAGACGTTTCCTTCATGGGAAGCAAAGATGCTAAAAGAATGTCTTGTATTTCTCCTGTCCCCAAATGGTGTGAAACACTCCGTCAAACCCTGGTGTTGAAGGTCTCATTGCGCACAGTGAAGATGCGGATATAATATTTTATCTCTGTTTATGTTGCATGTTTCTCGATTGCCCTCTGTCTTCCTGGGCAGTCTACAATTAGTGACTGTGAAAAGTCTATCCAAAAAAGATGAATTATTTCTTTGCCAACGAGTTTTAGTTCGAAACTACTGAAGACTGCATCATGTTGCTGTTAGTTTCTGGGTTGACTTAGAGGTAGATTGTTTCCTTATGAAAGAGATAAAATTTGTCCTCGTGTCTCCTCAATTTGGTGATAATGGTGAGGCTAACAAATGGCCCATACATCCTGCCTTCCCAGAGCAGCTATGGTTTTGTCATTTCTCATTTAAAAGACTTCTTTGAAGGAACCTGGTTTCTTGAAGAGCCTAGATGAAGCCCACCTGGCATGGGTACTCTGTTAAACATGGCCATGAGAAATGATACTATGTAGATCGTTGATTGTAGCACTGATCTACAAAAGATGGACTAGCCACAGGCAGTTTGTTTGAGCATCATTTAGCTAAAACATGATAGTGGGGTATTGCTAAGAAGTTATAAGAATCTAAGGTACACAGACCTGAGAGGAAAATCCCAGGAGCAAAACTCAGTTGCTGTGGCACATTACATTCAGACTTTTCTGTGGCTGGACATTTATGCTGGGTGCTCAAAATTCCTCCCAGTGGTGGTTCGTTTCCAGACACTATGAGTGCTTCCGAGGGCATGCTCACTATAGTGCAGTCACATGGTAGATCTGACTTTATTCGGAATACTCTCTGCCTCTCACTTATATTCTCCTTTGAGATCCAGTCAGCCACGCAAGAGGGAAAGAAATAGCCGCTCTGTCCATGTTCTGGAAGCAAGGCATGCTGAGGCAGAAGAACTGCCTCAGTTCTGTTAGAGACTTCTGTTGGCCGACAGCATGCTATTGCACTTCCTTGAGGGTATTTTCTGTCCATCTGTCTCTCAAAGGAGAGGGCCAGAATTCTCATGTGTAGTGTGTTTCGTGCCTAAAGTTGTTTTTCATATATCCCTTTCTAATAAGCTTTGTGTAGACATAACCTATAGATACACATTGAATGTTGTTTATCGAAAATGCTTGAGACCAAAAGTATTTTAAATTTTAGATTTTTTTTATTTTCAGATATTTGCATTTATATAATGAGACATCTTGGGTATAAAACCAGGGTATAAACACAGAATTCATTCATATTTCATGTGTAGCATGCATTCACAGCCTGATGATAATTTTATATGATCTTTTAAATAATTTTTGGTAGGAAATAAAATTTATAGCATGGAATTTTGCTAATTATGTCATATTGGCATTTTAAACATTTTAGTTCTTTGGAGTATTTTAGATTTTGGATTTTCAGGTAAGATATATTCATCCTGTACTATTGTTTTTCAATGACAAGCCCAGACACAAGATTCAAAGAGAGCCACTTACCTTTCCATGTTCACACAGCTGTCTGATTTGAAGCTAAGAAAGCCTGGCTTTTGTCTCTTGCACTGAAGTGAAAAGTGCAGCTCACATTGTTTAAGGGCAAGCCCAGAAGAACAAGTCCTGTTTTCTGGCTGAGCGTCCCCATGTGTAACTACTGCTCTTCCTTCAGAAGGTCATCCCAGCTCCCAGTGATACACCCTTTGCTAAGGTCTTGTTGTCTACTGATCATGTGGCATTTGTAGAAGACAGCAATGAAGGGAAGAACGCAATCTTTTACTTATGTTCCCAACTCACGAAGAGGAGACCCTCAATGTCCCCTTCTAGACACAAGGAAAAAATAACTCTCAAGAACCTCTCTCCTTTCTGAAGTTCCATTATCTGAGGATTTTTGCCACTGCTTTGTGTCATTCTCTGTATTATTTGGCTAATCCCTACCCCCAACTCACCAATGGATCGTAATCGCTGATGGCTTCTATGTCTAAGTGAATTATACTTGTTGTCTCTGCTCATCCTGCTGAATACCCTTCCCTTTTGACACTTAATCTATCCATGCCTATGTCCCAAATGTCCACTGTAATTCTGCAGCCCAAAATACAAGGCAAAAAAATATCCTTGCCTATACTTAGAATGCAGTCTCGAAGTTTGTCAAAACTTGCTGGAGGACATCTTCCTTAATGTGAAAATTTCCAAAAACAAACAAACAAACAACAACAAAAATAACAACAACAACAACAAAACATGAAGTCCTGTAAAAGGATATGAAGCAGATAAGGTGCTAGGACAGTTACTAGAGCCATTAGGAGCTTCTAGAAACGCATCTAAGTGGAGATTTTGGTTGAGCTGGACAACACTAACATTTATGGTGGGAAATAAGCACCTGAATTTTCCAGTTTCTCTCCACGCACCCTTTGTTGCTCCATGGTAGATTCATTTTTTTATACCTCTGAAGATCCTATTTCCCATGATCTATTCTTCTCTAAAGTATATGTGTCCACTATATAGATATCATTCTATACCCCACTGAGGACCAGCTTTAGTAGCTTAGTGGAGAAAGGGCTTTGAGCAGTCCCTGAGATTAGAGCTGATGAAAGGCACCACATACATGTAAGTCATTACTATTATGGAGAAGGGAATGAGAGACCCCCTTTAGCAAAGGCAGCAGTTCCACACTCCCTTTCATCCTTCCTGCTTGGCAAATAGCTCATTCCCCATGCCCTGGCCCTACCAAGGATCACACTATCTCATCAGCTCCCTTACAGAACACTCAGCTTAGAAGTTTTGCATGCTCCTTCCCATTTTTCTTCTTTCATTCCTCATGTGTCTTCTGTCTCAGAAGGCAGTGACTCTTTGGGCCTATTTTCTGGATGCACACCATCTGCTAAATCACCACTCTCTAAAATGCTTGATTTGTGCCCCAAATGAATAAATAATGTAAAGGGATAGTCACAGATTTGAACTTATGAGCATTATTTGAGGCTCTTTGTCACCAGGCATCACTATCCCCCAAACATGCACAGGCTTTCAAAAGAGCAAACCTGTCCAGGGTTGACAACACATAGTGAGAATGATGCCACGAACCTTCTTAGCCGAATTCCCATAGGTGGTGGGAGAAGTCTCCTGGGTGAGTGACAATCTTTCTCTTCATATTTCTTGGAAGCAATCTTTGCATATTTTGACCTAAAACTCTGCCATGTATGAGATATCACAAATGAACCTGCTGTCTTGGCTCTTCTCAGATAATGGAAAAGCAGTAACAGGAGTGTATTTACATATGGTACCTCTTCATTCAGTGCCATTATTAAACAAGGAAGCCAGTCCTCATGCCCAAATGTCAAACACCTGCCTCATGATGAATATAGGTTGAGAATTAATCCTGAGTTCACCTCTCAAATATCAGAATCCTGCTGCAGAGGTAAACAGATTCCCTGGAGTCTGGTCTGCTCCACTTTTCCTGGTGGCTTCTGTCTTGCCCTTTGCCAGCTCCTCTTATCAGCACGGCAGGGCATTTGGGGAGGCAGAATCTGCTGTCACTCATCAACAAGACAGGGATAGCCATGCCAAAAGCAACATAAACCCCCCCTCCAAGCAGTTATCCAGAAGAAGGAGCAAGCCATGTGGGTGATATGTCATGAAAGCTTTAGGAGCAAATCATGCGAGGACTGTGGAAGAGGAATAGAAGGAAGAAGGTGACTGATGGGAGGAAAACGTTGAGGCCATAAGAAAAGACAGTAATAAATGGAGAATGGGTGAAAAATAATTTGTGTTACCTTAATCCAAGCTAAAAAGCATGTCCTCCTGCAGGAAGAGATGAATGATTAATTAGATAATTGTTGCCTTGTAGCCCAGCTGGGATCACCAATACCTGTCCAAGCCTCATCTGCTACACTACTAACTCACCAAGGCACCTTTTTTATTTGCTCTCTCAGCTTCTTGTGTGGATCTATAGTAATAATAAAGGTTCTGATTAAACGTGAGTCTAGGATTCTAAAAGCACCGACTCTATGACAATGGAATTTGAATAGGAACACAAACACAACAGGCAATTTGGAAGAAAAAAAATGCTCAAATTTTAGTCAAAACATCATT